CATCCTGAGTGGGGTTCTTGCTTTCCCAGAACATCCTCTCCTTCTCCCTCCCGCCTCCCGCCTCCCGTGCCCCTCCCACCCCTCCAGGGAGGCCCCGTCTGAGCGAGGAGGGTGTCGGAAACCCATACTATTTACATGGTTTCGTGCCCCTCCCACCCCTCCAGGGAGGCCCCGCCTGAGCGAGGAGTGTATCGGAAACCAATACTATTTTGATGGTTTCGTGCCCATCCCACCCCTTCAGGGAGGCCCCGCCTGAGCGAGGAGGGTATCGGAAAACCATACTATTTACATGGCTTCGTTCCCCTCCCACCTCTCCAGGGAGGCCCCGCCTGAGCGAGGAGGGTATCGGAAACCCATACTATTTACATGGTTTCGTGCCCCTCCCACCCCATCCAGGGAGGCCCCGCCTGAGCGAGGAGGGTATCGGAAACCCATGCTATTTACATGGTTTCGTGCCCCACATCCTGAGTGGGGTTCTTGTTTTCCCAGAACATCCTCTCCTTTTCCCTCCCGCCTCCCGCCTCCCGTGCCCCCCCCCCACCCCTCCAGAGAGGCCCCGTCTGAGCGAGAGGAGGGTGTCGGAAACCCATACTATTTACATGGTTTAGTGCCCCTCCCACCCCTCCAGGGAGGCCCCGCCTGAGCGAGGAGGGTATCGGAAACCCATACTATTTGCATGGTTGCGCGCCCCTTCCGCCACTCCAGGGAGGCCCCGCCTGAGCGAGGAGGGCATCGGAAACCCATACTATTTACATGGGTTCGTGCCCCTTCCACCCCTCCAGGGAGGCCCCGCCTGAGCGAGGAGGGTATCGGAAACCCATACTATTTACATGGCTTCGTGCCCTTCCCACCTCCACTCCTCCAGAGAGGCCGCGCTTGAACGAGGAGGGTCGCGGAAAGCATTATTCTTTACCAGGTTTCGTAGCCCTCCCCCCTTCCAGCGGGGCCCCGCCAGAGCGAGGAGGGTATCAAGAAACTGTACTGTTTACAAGGCTTCGTTTTCTGAGCACCTGTCCTCCCTCCTCCTTCCTTTCGTCTGCCCTTTCGTGCGTCCTTACTCGTTCGATGAGTTTCTCCTTCGTGTTGATGTTGTCGTACCCCATGGGTCCCACGAAACCGTTCGTATCTTTGTGTGGGGAACTCCGTTAGCATAATTTCATTACGTTCCTGGCCCCCCTCCCCTGGGCCGCGCACATGCCGCCGGCCATGATTTGCGCCCCCCTCCTGGCCGCCCCCGATCGTGTCCCCCCCCCGTTTGCCTGGCACGGGCCCCCAGACGCCCAAAGCAGCGAGACAGCTTGCGGCGCGACTTCTGCCACGACGGCAAGGGCTCTGGGCCTCCCGCCCCTCCGAGCTCCTGGACCCCCCCCCCCGGGCGGCCACGACTTGCTGGAGGAGGAGTCGTGCACTGAGCTCTCTCCGCCGAGGAAGGAGGAGGGGGAGGAGGAGGAGGAGGAGGAGGAGGAGGAGGAGAGGAGGAGGAGACTGGCGGATTACACAGCCTTGAGGGTGGCTGGCCCCTGTGCGAGTTGGCACCGTAAAGAGCGTTGCTTCTCGGTGGTGTCTGATGCCCCTGACTGGGGGGGATAAAACAGGCGGCCACCAACCGAGAGGGGCTCGCGTGCTGCCTCTGTCCGAGGGCGCCGAAGAGACGGCCACCTTTCGAGACACACCTGTGACAGGTGGTGAGACCCTTTGGAAGTGGGTTTGCCTGCTCGGGCAAACAATGGGAATGAAATGGTCGTCAGTTGGGCGAGTGCGCTGGGGTCTCCAGCGAGAGCCTGGGGTGGGAAGGCAGGTGGGATATCGGGTAGCGGAGAGGAATGCGATGATGGATGACACAGAGGTTGGGGGGTGAGATCGCAGAGGAAATGAGAACGATAGTGAGATCGATAGAAAAAACAGCAGCAGGAAGCACGCATCAGACAGCGAAGACCGAAGCGAGAATGTACGAGAAGAAGGGGGCGGCGAAATCAAGTTCAGGGGCCCCGCCTGTGAGCCGAGCGGTTGATTGGACACAAGAACGGGTTTCCCGCTGTCCAGGCGACCAGAGAAAAAATATGAGAGAATGGCACGGGGGAGTAGACGCGAAGCTTGGACACCCGATTTGGGGCTGCAAGACAACAGTGCCACAAGTAACGCTACACGAAGTCGCGCAAGGTGCGGGTGAGAATGTGGCGCAAGCTATCGCGCCCGGCCATCGCCCTTGTATCTTGGTTTGAGTGTTGGACGGCCCTGAAGGGCATTCCATGGGCTGACCAATGGGCGAGCCACACACACAAGTAAAAGGGTTGAGCGGCCTGTTGAGAGGCCACTGGAGGGCATTCCATGGGCGGAAACGTGGGCGAGACACATGCGTATTAGAGTGTTGAACGGCCCTGAACGTCATTCCACGGGCGGACGCACGGGCGAGCCACACACACCTCGTGGTAAATGCCACGGGGACGGCACGCCGTGACACGCCTTCGCGAGATGGAGGAGCCGGGCCGTGCCTGATGAAATGCCCTCCAGGTTCGATGGGAAGCCTGAAATGGTCTACTGTCACAACCGTTAGGACCGAATGCAAGATGGACGAGTGGCCCGACAAATGGAGTGAAAGCGGCAATGGGATCAACGGGCTTCAAATATGAAGCGGCACTGGCGGGTGCCCATCAATGGGGTAGCCGGATGGTCAAGGATGATGGGGCAACGGGCATGGAAGGAAGAGGCAGGAAAAGCGGAGGAGGGGGAGGAGGAGCAGGAGCAAGGCACGCAGCGAGAGAGAGAGAGAGAGAGGAAGAGAGGGAGAGAGAAAGAGAAAGAGAGGGAGAGGGAAGCAAGAACAGGGAGACAACAAGGGAAACGGGACCACAGAGAGACCAGGAAAGATGGGGTAGCAGTGGTGGAGAAACGGGTGAGGGGGTGGCTGTGGCGCCCCAGCTTCCTGGCCTTTGAAGGCTAGTGATAAACGCTTGGTTCAAGATGACCGCGTGCATGGAAGCGGGCGAACAGATAAAGGTGTGGAGCGAATTTCATGTGAAGGAGGGGGCGGGTAATTGGGAAGACAGAATCAAGGACAAAGGAAGCATGGACGGAAGCAGAAGTAAGCCGGCAGAGAATAATGGCGCACAGCAGACGGAATTAATCGATGTGCAAGCGTGAAGTACATCGCATGGCATAGCAGCGTGGTGAGGACGAGTCACAACGCACGATCAAGATATAGAGAAAGCACAAGCGCCGTGCGGGATGGAATACATAGGCCACATCATGGGAAGGAGGGAGCGGGAGGGGAACGAGCAACCGCCGATACAGTGACATGTATGCAACGAAGGGGGCGCCTGGGCTGGTCAATCGGGCCGGGCAGATGGCACTCCATTTTATCGCAATGGCCCCAGGCTGTAGTGCGCAATGCCGTTTTCTGCCGATACGCGCGCTTGCGCCAAGGAGGGGGAGGAGGAGGAGGAGGAGGAGGAGGAGGAGGAGGAGGCGGAGGAGGAGGAGGAGGGAGGAGAGGAGGAGGAGGAGGAGGAGGAGGAGGAGGAGGAGGAGGAGGAGAAGGGGGAGGGGGAGGAGGAGGGAGGAGGAGGAGGAGGAGGAGGAGGAGGAGGAGAGAGGAGGAGGAGGAGGCGGAGGAGGCGGAGGAGGAGGAGGAGGAGAGGAGGAGGGAGGAGGAGGAGGAGGAGAGGAGAGGAGGAGGAGGAGGAGGAGGAGGAGGAGGAGGAGGAGGGGAGGAGGGAGGAGGAGGAGGAGGAGGAGGAGGAGGAGGAGGAGGAGGAGGAGGAGGAGGATTGGGGGGCAGCGGCCTCCCTCGCCGCCCGCAGGATGCCAGAGGCCGCAGACCCTCCCAGCTGGGACGCCTCCTGAGCCATGGCGGCGCCCGGCGCCCGACGGAGCTCGCCCACGGCGCCTGCAGTGGCAGGGCCCAGGGGCCGGGGCTGCGCTTAGACGAAGCCAGGACGAGGACCATTTTTGGACGAGGATAAATCCCAGACGTGATCGCGCCGTGAGAATGAGGACGGGAGGTCTTAGGTTATTTGCTGCCCTGGGGGGGCCCTCGCTGGGCCTCGGCACCGCCAAAAAACGACGCAGGATGAAAAACCGGTCCCGGGGAAAGGGTCGGTACTTCCAGGGATGCCGTCCTGAAAAAAATTAGGACGCCGCATGTCTGGGACCGGAAGTAATTATTTGAGACCTGGCGGCTCCGGAGGATGTCTCGGGCGCCGCGGCCTTCCCAGAGCGTTCGGAAACGCTCTGAGGGCGTTCTCCTCCTCCTCCTCCTCCTCCTCCTCCTTCTCGTGGAAAGGATTTATCCTCGGCCCGCTGCGCCCCGGCCCGCGGCCCGGTGTGTCGACCCCGCAGTTATGTTGCAGCCCGCGTGGGGGCTAAAAAGAGGGCTCGGCAGCGCTCGGACGTGTGCTTGTTACCAGCGTGGAGCATTTTGGATCATCTTGGGCGTTGCGTAATGGAGGGGTCATAAATGGGGGGGTGGCGAGGGTGGTCCGAAAAGGTACCCAAACGGTACCTAAACGAGCCCCCTGGGGGTCCGGAGGGGCCCGAAAGGGGCACGAAAGGGGACCGTTTCTGACCCCCCCATTTATGACCCCCCCATGAAGCCACGCCCAATCATCCTGCGACGGAGAAATTCACACACACACACACATGGCCAGTTCTCACGTATCACCATGGCACGATGACGCACAGATGACGACTTTTTGCTTCTCTTTCAGCAGCATCGAATGACTTGGAAGGTTGCTGCATTCGATCGAACATGATACGTTAGGCGTTGTTGGAGGTAAGGCAATCTTCAAGATCGCCTCGACTGTTCGGGCCGATGGAGCACGTGCTCTGTCAGATCGGCAAACGAACAATCCTCGTCAGCACCCTTACCGCCATCATCACCATCATTACCGTCAGCCCCAGCACCACCGACATCGCCATCATTTCCATGATCATCCCCTTCTCACCGTCGGCATCAGCCGCATCGTCGGCATCATCAGTGCATCATCGCCCCTGCCCTTCTCAGGGATGCGGCCCAGGCCCCCGCGCCCCGCCACCGCGGCGCTGCTGCTCCTTGGGCCATGGCTCGCGCCCCGGTCGCCAGCGGCAGTGCAGCCGCGGGCGCGGCAGCAGCGGCGGGGCGGGTTGGATCTGGGCAGGGCCGCCCTCGAGCACGCCGAGATCGACTTGAGCGACGCAGAAAAGCGGGGTCGTCTTTGCATGTCTTCACCGACGTTCGCGCGTAAGTTTCCGGCGTTAAGGTCGCGCGTGAGCGCCCTCGTTTCCAGCGAAGCGCGCCGCGCTGGCGGCCCGCGTAAGCCACCGCGTAAGGTCGCTGTCCGCTTACTCGTCTTCACTCCGAGTCTGATCACTCCTTCTCCGTTTGATCCCCACTGGGGAGGAGCGGGACGATTGGATTGATGGTCGTATCGGTGTCTCCTGCCCACGCGGCTCGAGCCACGGCCACAGCCTGAATTACCAGATCGTGGCGGATCCATGCAGTCTCGGAGCCCGCCCCGTTTACAGATGGTGTTGAGGCCCAGTTCTAGCTATACCCTTGAAACCAGTCGAAGACGGAGACAACGGAGGGAGGATGGAGAGATGAAAGATCGAGGAGAAGTGACCAGGTGCAAAATTTGAGCCAGTCGACTCAGATGTCAGCCCCAGCGACCCTCTGCTGTCTGTGATGTCGGCCCCCGTGATTCTGGCGTTGGGGACGTTGGAAGCGCCCAGGAGTTCCGCGCTGCAAGAAATGGGGTGCAAGCTGTGTGACGAAAGAAAAGGTAGTGCAATCTATCTGATGGTTTTCGGCCATCCCCCGCCACCGTGTCTGAGTTGTGGGTCGGAGTCCTCAGGGATGTGTCTTGGAGTCTCCTCGGAGCGCTCTCGGGGGCCTCGCCTCGTTGGGGGAGTTTTTGGGGACCTCGTGGGATCCCCTTGGGGGGCCGCTTAGTGCCTCCCAGGGGCCTCTCGGGTGCCTCTTGGGCCCTCCTGGGGCCTTCTTGAGGCCTCCCGGGGCCGAGGGCTTGAAATGTCTACTTAGGTCCCCCGTCGGGCCCTCCTCTTGGAGCCGTATTGGGGGCATCTTGGTGGACCGGCTTGGGCGCCTCTTGGGCCGTTTGGTTTTGGGCGCCTCTTGGGCCTTTTTGGGGCCCTCTTGGGCTGTTTGGGGGCCCTCTTGGAGGCCTCTTGGACTGTCTTAGGGCGGTCTTGGGGGCCTCTTGGGCCATCATGGAGCGTCGGAACGCCGAAGATGTGAGAACGCCGAAATCAGTTTAAAGCCAGCACTTTCTGCCTCTCGGGGTCATGTCGGGAGGCCCCTTGGAGGCCTCTTCGGGCGTATTGGGGGCATCGTGGGCCGTCTTGAGGCCATCTTGCACGTCTTGGAGCGTTCGATCGGCGACTCGGGCCCTCTCGGACCGTTTTCGGGGCCTCTTGGGGTCCTCTTGGGGCCCTCTTGGACCTCTGGGGCCAGAGAAGTCATGCGAGAAGACGCCCTCGGGCCCCTGGGGCCGCGCGACGCGCCCCAGGGGCCACGCGGCGGGCCCCGGCCGCTGTGCAGCTGTGAAAGGCCCAGATCCCTCTTCCAAGAACCCTCCGGATGGAGGACTGCGGCTCTGAGCAGGGGACCGATCGGGGCGCTCCCCTCCGTGCCACAGGGGCACGGCGGCGGACGTGGCGAAGCGCGGGGTGGCGCCACCTGTGCGGTGCGCGTCGGGTGGTGCCCCTGGCGCGCGGGGCGCCCACGGGCAGACCCACGGGGCGCCCGGGGCGCCCACGAAGCGGCCACTGACGGCAACCGGCGGCCCTCCGCCTCCTCCTCCTCCTCCTCTCCTCCTCCGCCTCCTCCTCCTCCTCCTCTCCTCCTCCTCCTCCTCCTCCTCTCCTCCCTCCTCCCTCTCCTCCTCTCCTCCTTCCTCCTCCTCCTCCCTCCTCCTCCTCCTCCCCCTCCCCCCCCCTCCCCCTCCTCCCCCTCTCCTCCTCCTCCTCCTCCTCCTCTCCTCCTCCTCCTCCTCCTCCCTCCCTCCTCCCTCCTCCTCCTCTCCTCCGCCTCGGCCCCTTCCTCGTCCTCAAGTGGCACCACGCGAGACCAACCCAGCGCACGGGGCGCGCGCCATGCTCGGGCCGGACGAAAGGGGGGGATAGGGAAAGGGGGGGGGTGTACAACATCTGCTGCATGCAGCTGGTTTCGGCCCCGCCGCCGGGCCCGCCCCTCGACACATGGGCGCCTCCCGGCGGCGGGAGGCGCCGGGAAAATCAGCCACGTGGGCTGATTCTCAAACCCCCCCTTTGCCATCCCCCCCTTTCGCCCGGCGCGACATGCGCCCATGAGGGACGGACGACCCGACATCGGACGAAATCTGGACAGACCCATCCAAATAACCTCATGAAGCAATTAAGGACCCCCCCCCCCTCCGGCGAAACGATATCACCCCGCACCTGGAAGCGTTAATTCCGGCACCTGCGGCTAGGAGGAGGAGGAGGAGGAAACACATCGCCTGAGACATCCTCGCATTTCTTTATAGAATTAGCCAAATCGCCTGAGACATCCTTGCATTTCTTAATAGACTTGGCCAAATCGCCTGAGACATCCTCATATGTCTTAACAGAATTTGCCACATCGCCTGAGACATCCTCACATTTCGTACGAGAATTTGCCAAATAGCTTTAGACATCTTCACATTTCTTACGAGAATTGGCCAAATCGCTTGAGAAATCCTCACATATCTTAATACAATTACCCAAATCGCTTGAGACATCAACGCATTTCTTAATAGGATTGGCCAAATCGCTTGAGACGTCGTTACATTTCCAAATAGAACTTGCCAACTTGCTTGAGGCATCCTCACATTTCTTATTAGAATGTGCCAACTCGCTTGAGACATCCTCGCATTTCTTAGCAGAATTTGCAACATCGCTTGAGACATCCTCACATTGCTTAATCCTTCTCCTATTCCTTCCCCGTCTCCCTCCTTCCCCCCCAGCTCGCCTTTTCACAGTCCTGGCAATATTAGGGCAACCTTTCAGTGCTCAGGAGAGTTCCTGCCTGTGCCTGCCGCCCTTTCAGAGCTCAAGCGTTCAGTTTTCAGATAGGATTGGCCGAATCGCTTGAGACGTCCTCACATTTTCAAGTAGAACTTGCCAAATTGGTGGAGACACCCTCGCAATTCTTATCAGCATTTGCCAAATCGCCTGAGACATCCTCGCATTTCTTAACAGACTTGGCCAAATCGCTTGAGACATCCTCACAGTTCTTATTTGAATTGGCCACATCGCCTGAGGCACCCTCGCAATTCTTATCCTCATTTTCCAAATCGCTTGAGACATCCTCATTTCTTAACAGACTTGGCCAAATCGCCTGAGACATCCTTGCACTTCTTAGTAGAATTGGCAGAATTACATCCGATATTCGCCTTTTTCTGAATCGAATTTGCCAAATCGCCTGAGACATCTTCACATGTCTTAGCCTAATTATCCCAATGGCATGAGACATCCTCATATTTCTAAATAGAATTGGCCAACTCGCCTGAGCCATCCTCACATGTTTTCGTAGAGTTGGCAAAATTGCTTGAGACACCCTTGCACTTCTTAATAGAATTAATTCGCCAAATCGCCTAAGACATCCTCACATCTCTTAATAGAATGGACCAACTCGCTTCAGACATCTTCACAGTTCTTGATGGAATTGGCCACATCGCCTGAGACATCCTCGCAGTTTTACAAGCATTTGCCAAATCGTTTGAGACATCCTCGCCATTCTTAAGAAAATGTGCCTACTCGTCTACTCGTACTCGTGCTCCTATTCGTATTCCTACTCCTACTCCTATACTCCTACTCCTACTCTTACTCCTACTCCAACTCCTCCTCCCTCTCCTCCTACTCCTCCAACTCTTACTTCTACTAAGGGGGCCTCACGACTCCTGCGCGGCCCAGGGAGCCTCAGAATAATCCAAGATGGCCGAGCGGCTCCAGAATAATCCAAGGCGGTCCAAGACGTACCGCAAGGGGTTCTCATAGCAGGGCCCTGGAGATGCCTTCAGCCAATGGCCCCTCGCCTTCCCTCAGTGGCCAGGGCCTCTCAGGGCCCAGGGAGCTCTTATTCTGAGAGGCCTTCGGCCGATCCGCCTGACCTCCTCCCCCATCGGGGTCCAGGGCCTTTCAGGGCCCAGGGAGCTCTTGTTCTCAGAGGCCTTCGGAGGCACTAGTCCAGGTACTGGCAGGAGTCCAGGTATTCAGAAGGAAGCAGTGGCGCTTCATATGTTTTGTAGAATCGGCCACGTCGCTTAAGACATCCTCGCACTTCTTAGTAGAATTGGCAAACTCGCCTGAGACATTTCGCATTTCATAGTAAAATTTGCCAAATCGCCTGAAACATCAGTTGTTCCTTGGGCCTCTCAGCCATGTCATGGTTGTCAGGGGTAACTATCTACCATTGGTGTCTTCCGACGATTAGTGCGACGACGAGCACGACCTGGCTGTCGCACGGATATTTTTGTTTGGGCGGGTGCTAGGATAACGCCACGGTGCGGGGTGGGGGCGATACCCTCGGGTGGCACACCCCCTACGACGGCCGAAAAAACGCATGTCACTAACGGGTTTTCAATAGAAACTTCATCGGACAAAAAAAAACAAGCGGGTCATAACAAATAGTGGAGAAGGAAAAAGAGGAAATCGCTTGAAACATCCTCACACGTCTTAGTTAAATTGCACAAATCGCCTGAGACATCCTCACATTTCTTCTTGGAGTTAGCCAAATCGCTTGAGACATCCTCACATTGCTTAACAGAATTGTCCAAATCGCCTGAGCACCCTCACACTTCTTATTCGAATTGGCCAAATCGCTGGAGACATCCTCACATGTCTTAATACAAGTGGCCAAATCCCCTGAGACATCTTCACATTTCTTCTTAGTCTTCGTTCGTATCTTCGTTCGTTTTAGTCGTATCCTCATTCGTAGTCTGCGAGGGTCGCTGCTTTGTTCGGAGCACCTCGATTTCATGAGGATCATGAGGAAAACGATGCTGATTATCCGTAGTATTACAATCAGTCGCATTCTGCTTCGCATTAGTCGTATTATTCGTTTGTTTCTGCTTATTTTTCTTCTTATCTTCGTTTGTATCTTCGTATCTTCGGCGGCGACGAGCACGATCTGGCTGTCACACGGATATTTGTTTGGCCGGGTGCTAAGATAACGCCACGGTGCGGGGTGGGGGCGATACCCTCGGGTGGACCACCCCCTGCGACGGCCTAAAGAAACGCATTTAACTAAAGGATTTCCAATAGAAACCTCATCGGAAAAAAAACAAGCGGATCAGAACAAAGAGTAGAGACGGAAGAAGAAGAACTCGCTTGAAACATCCTCACACATTTAGTATAATGGCACAAATCGCTTGGTACATCCTCACGTTTCCTTTTTTGAATGAGCCAAATCGTTTGAGACACCCTCACACTGCTTAACAGAATTGTCCAAATCGCCTGAGCACCCTCACAAATTGCCTAGCATCACGGTAACAGTAGCATCACGGTAGCAGTAACAGTAGCATCACGCCATCAGGTTTCATCGTCATCACGGTAGCAGTAACAGTTACGGTGTCAGCAGTACCTGTGACACTCGCCTTATTTCCATTATTGTTTTTATTCGCATTTTCATTCGTATTCTTATTTTTGATTGCAATTCCAATTGGGATGCCATCCGAGGCGGGACGCAGGAATTATTTACTTTCCTTTTCAAGTGCGCGGTGCTAATGATATCATTGGGCGAAAACCCCCCAGAATAATTATTTAATTACGGGGCGGTGCTAATGATAACCCCGGGGGGATCCTTAATCGCTTCATGAGGTTATGTGGGCAATCGGAGGGAGCATCCTTAAGCCCAATCACTGCTTAGGGGAAACATGCACGGATGAGGCGCGCATGTCGCCCGTCAGGAGGGCAGCATCGTTGCATATGTTGGTCAGCATGGTGAACTAGTGACGGTGGTGATGGCGACGGTGATGGTGTTGGTGGCAGCGTTAGCGATGCGGCCAGAGGGTCGATGGTTATGAAGCTTCAGGTTTCCAGTTCATTATTTGTCGCACATGGTCTTTGATATCGTCATCTGTAAGCCGCAGGCTGGGTACACGGCTTGACGTCTGGGTTATTCCACCATCACGCTCTTTGTTTCCTTCTTGGGGAACTCTTAAGGGAGGAGGACCTCTCTTTCCACGTTCGGCACAGATGTTCTTCTTGGAGCTAACATGTGGCGTAAACTCTGCCTTGTTGAGGCGCTTGTTCAGCGTGCCCTTCGCCGGAGTGACCTTTGGTGCGCGCCCAATGGGGTCCCCCGATCGCCGAACGCCAGGCGGCAGTGGCGTCTGGCGCGCTTGTGTTCGGCCCCCCCGCGTCCCCCAAAAAGCCGCGCACCAAAGGTCATTCTTGCCCAAGGTCACTCTTGCGTGTAGTCGGGAGTACCCCTGTCTTCGGGCTCAACGATAGGGGGGGATAGGCATAGGCGGGATGCATCGACCCCGAATCGCCCATTGATCGCCGACAGGGGTCTGATAGCCCCAACCCTCCCATGAAGGTGCGGATTCACTATCGGAGGCCTATCGCCGATCTATCGGCGATGTATCGCCGATTCCAGGTCGATGCATCCCCCCCTATGCCAGTCCCCCCTTATCGTTGCCCCTCGTGCCTCCCAGAAGTACCCCCTGCGGTGGCGGGCCAGGGCATCGGCGGCGCCCGGGCGGCCGCTCCGGGCGCGCCGCATGCGGCCCGAGCAGCGCAGCGGGGACCGGAGGTGGGGGTGGGGGGCGCTTCGACGGAGCTCGGGGGCAGCGTCGGTCGGAGGTTGATGGACCTCCTACCCTGACACGTCGATCAGTGCATTGGCCGTGTTCGGTTCGCGAGAGGGCGTCGCGGCCGGGATTTCTGCGGGTCCAGGTCCGTCGGTTTCGGTCTTGGGCCGTTTTCACTCAAGGGTGGTTTGCTAAAGGGAGGTTTGTCCACCGCCGAGTCAGAGGGGATAGGCAGAAGGGAGTCGTGCAGCACCACGCCGGTCAGCACTACGGTGGGCAGCGGCACGACGCTGGTGGATACGCCAGGGTCATTCAATGCCACGGTGAACGAGGCGCGTGCTCGACGGCTCGTACGATCGGCACAAGCAGCGCGACGGCTACCGCGAGCGTGGCCAGCAGTACAACTGCAACGTCCGCAGCTCGACTTCCAGTGCATCGTCCTGTCGCAATACGTCACAGATGACCAACGGAGCGACGCCGAGTGGCCCCGTCCAGCACGTGACGCTGACGGCAAGGCTGGCCTCCGACGGCTAGCACGAGCGGCACTGGCAGCTCGAGCGCGGCCAGAGCGCAACTGCATCTTCCACCATCTCGACTTCCAGTGCTTCGCTGTCCTGCAGTACGTCTCAGGTGACCAGCAGTGCGACCTCGGGCAGCACGGTCACGACCAGTCCGGCCTCGACTAGTGCGACGTCCACGGCCACCTCCACAGTGGGCTCCACGACGACTTCGAGCAGCAGCGTGGGTCATCAATACCACCGACAAGGCCATTCAGACTACGCTGGCCGAAACGAGTTCCTCCACGGCTAGTCCGAGCGGCACCAGCGGCACGACGAACAGCCCGTGCGTGACCTGCAACATAACTGCATCGTCCACCACCTCGACCAGTACGATCTCGAGCAGCGCGACGTCCACGGCCACTTTCACAGCTACAGCGAGCAGCCGCGCGAGCGTGGCCGCGACGAGCAGCGCAGCTGCGAGCTGCACGGCCTCGATTGCGACACTGTTGACCAGCACCACGCCGGTCAGCACCTAGGTGAGCCGCGACCCATCGCTGACGGACACGTCACGGTCATTCGATACCACGGTGACCGAGGTGATTCCTTCGACGGCTTGTACGAGCGGCACCAGCAGCACGACGGCTAGCTCGAGCGTGACCAGCGGCACAATTGCGTAGTTCACCACCTGGACTTCCAGTGCCCCGTTGTCCAGCAGTACGTCTCAGGTGCCCACGGTGCGACCCTGGGCAGCACGGTCGAGACCAGTACGGTTTCGAGCAGAGTGGCGCCCACGGCCATCTCCACGGTGGGCTCCACGTCGTAATTAAGCAGCAACGCGTGCGGGGTCGAGACGAGCTGCGCAACCTCGAGTAGTACGATTACGAGCGCAAGACAGTTGTATTGCACTACGTTGTGCCAGCACTACGGCGGGCAGTGGCGCGACGCTGACGGATGCGGCAGGGTCTAGTAACATGGTGACCGAGGAGCGTTCTCCGACGGCCCGTTCGGGCGGCACCAGCAGCGCGACGGCGAGCTCGAGCGGGGCCAGCAGCACATCTGCAATGTTCGCAGCTTGGTTTCCAGTGTTCGGTGGATCACAGTACGTCTCGGATGACCAGCAGAGCGACCTCGAGCAGCATGGCCACGACCAGCACGGCCTCGGACAGCGCAATGTCCACGGCCATCTCCACGGCGAGCTTCACGTCGACATCGCGCTCTAGCATGGGCGTTGTTGAGTCGGACAGCGCAACGCCGAGCAGTGCGACTTCGCGCGCGACACAGTCGCGCAGCCCCGTCCGGCCAGTACAATATGAGCAGTGGCATGACGGTGACGGTTCGACAAGTTCTTTCCGCTCCGCGTGCCGACACCAAGGCTATGTTCTTCGTAGGGTAGCTATCACAATCCAAGTTCTGATTAAAAACGAGCTCTGCTATGGAATGTCCTGTTTGATGGGCGAGGAAAGGCTGCCGATGATGCCTCTCCCACTCGCGAGCTGCTGCTTGTCGGATGCGGGCCCACATTCTGTAGAGGCCTGACAGCATTCCTATGGATCTCATGGCTGGCGTGGTTGCTGTCTTGTCCTGCTGTTTGTGCTTCATGATGAGCACCGAGGTGATGGTTTGCAATTGCGTCGTCATGAATCCGTGTCGTTCGATGACGAGGAACAGCCTGGCAATGAGATCCGCGTGTTCGTCTGGCAGTAAAAGACGATGTTTCGGATGGGCTCCGTCCCAAGTCGAAGCTGTTCTGGGAGGAAGTTCCTGGCCGCTGGCTTTTTATCGCGTCACCCGTCAATGGGCCTAGGGCGACGCGATCGTCGATGTGGTTCTTTGGCGGGGTTGGGTTGGGTCTTCACCTCCGTTTGCCGGATCTTAACGGGTCTTTCGGTTTCCCCCTCCAGAATACTCGGCTCGGCGGCCTGCCTGACCATGGTCCGCGGTGCAAAGTAGCTGCTGGCGCTTCGAGGCATTACGGGTCCAGCGGTGCGCCCAGCCGACTCCACTTTGCAATAAAGTCTGAACCCAGGAAGCCCAGGCCTTGGAGGCCTCCAGATTGTGTTTCCCCTTCTCGGAATCGATGGACTTGTCCAAGTATTTGATGAAGGTCCCGATGGCGTCGTCGGCTGCGCCCACTGCTAGCGTACTTGTTGCACTGTCTGCGACCAGCAACTCGCCAAGCTGCTGGGCTGCATGGAGGCCGCGTTCGAGGTCCTCCACCTCTTGAAACTCGTTACGGGACTCTTTGCCAGCATGCCACGTTGAAAATTAGTTGCGGATGATCATGATGGAATGTGGAGTAGCTGATATCGGCAAGACGGTTGCGTGACCACCGAAGAGGCGCCTCCAGGGATTTCCAGCTAGCTCTAGGTTCGTCGTTCCTAGGTTTGGCTCTCACCCAGTTGATGAGGAGGACTGGCGCTAGGAGTAGAGGAATGGCGAAGCGGAGTATTTGTGGCTCTCCTGATCGTCTGTTCCGTATCTTTGATGATGGAAAACTAGATGACGTCTAACACTGAATGATGATGTTGCTTGCTGAGAAGCTGCGCGGCATCGGCAAGCAAGGTGTCTGCGTAGTCGAGCGCGCCAGCGCTCTGGGACCAGGCCTGCGGATTCAGCTGCGGGCCGAACTGCAATGTCGATGGAAGCTTCTGCGACCTAGCCAACACTGGGATCATGAAACTATCGGGTTCCGAGAGGTCGAGACGCATTGTCTTGTGGGGTGGCATCGGATATTTGGTCCACGTGTGGGCCTTGTCGACAAAATCGTTGAGGGCGTTACTGACCAGGAAACAGTCCAAGACCGATTGCGTTTGGCGAACACGGAACGTGGGGCCTCATGGGGGGCAACCAGCTTGAGAGAGGCCTTGTGGAGGATGTCGAGGCCCTCGATCCTGGACGGGCAGAGATTGAAATCGCCAGCGACAACGATGAGGACCTTCTCCAGATCCTGCTGCACGGCGGTGTCGGCCAACAAGCCTAGGCTGACCTCCCCGAGGCCGCCAGCTGCTCGCGTCGGACCAGGTCGCCGCCCCCAGGTGGCTCCTAACAGGGCATCCCGCGGTCAGGGAGGCGTCCAAAAGGCCTCCACGTCCCTGAGATCCAGGCGTTGCACGTTTTTCACACCGGGCGTTCTCGCTAGTGTTCGGGCCGCGGGACCATCACAGATCGATCAGAGCCGAAAAATGCAGCAAACAGGTTGGGTCTAGGGCTCAGGGCGCGATGCCCTGATTATAAGAAAATGTCGCTTTCGCAGAGGCCTCTAGCGAAATAGGGGTCCTTCCTTGGGGCATCTTAGGCCGACGAAAGAGCCTGTTGGGCCATCCTGTGGCCGTCTTGAGTCGTCTTTGGCCCGACTTGGCAGTCGTAGGGTTTTTTGTTCAGGACCCCTTGGGGCCTTCTTCTGCTGGTGGGCCGTTTTAGGCTCTCCCTGGGCGCCTCAGACCCAGGCGGCCATGTCGGTGCGTAAGTTTTTGGCTGGACCGTCAACCTATGTTGGTACAACTGTATATGCATGCAAGCATCTAGGCCTCCTAGATAGGGTCCAAGTAGATGGTGTCGGAGGATCGCGCCGTCTCGTCGCGGCATCGGCGATGAGGCTCGATGTGGAGCACATGTTTCTCCACGCTGGCGTCGCCGATGCATCGCCGATGCGTCGGCGATGGCTCCGACCCCATCTACTCGGACCCCACCTAGGAGGCCTCTTCAGCACATGTGTGCGTGCGGGCGACTGGGTGAGATTGAGGGGGAGGATTGGCGCGCCAGCGCGCAGCAGCTCGGCGAGCAGCTGGATGCCGGCGCTGGGGGAGTGGGGCTCACGTGGCACAAATGCGCAAGGCAGGAAGACGGTGATATCGGAGACCAGCTGAAATGGAGGTGTGACGCGGCGCGGAGTCAGGACAGCGGAGGCGCGGCAGTGCAGGTTGTCAGATCGAGATAAACACGCGGATGTTGACGTTACAAATAGTTTCGGCCACGCACTATCGTATTTGAAAGCGATTGTTTGGGTTTGTTGTTTTCGACTAGATGATATTCGCGATCAATTTGGAGTGGCGCTTTTGTTCTAGTGCGTTCGAGCAGAAAGGGAGTCGATGCTGCAGCCGAAGGGAGGCACTGCGACAAAGAAGGCCTACATGCAAGCGCTCAAGTCTCTGGCCGGAGATCTTGATCAGCAGACTAGCGCGGACGCTCCTACTTGTTATCTGTCGAGATGTCTTGCAAGTGCATCGGCCCAGTCCTGTTGCTCCCACACTCCTCCACGATCCGACTCAGGAAATCATCTTGCCGACCATCGAAAGCACTCCCCATCCCTTTTCGATCTTCATCGCCATTTCGCTCGTTAACCTATACATCAGCTCTCCCACGCCTCGCGTCTCACCTCAGCTCAACGGTCATCGAAGAAATTACGCATCCTTTCTTTATGAATTTGGACCGTCGATCGACGTAGAGGCTCGAGACGGCCGTTAGAGGAGCAGAGCATGCCACCCATCTACTGTGAAGGCCTTACGACCTGTGCCGCCGACCCTGAAGGCGGGGCCTACCCAGGTACCCCCGCAGGCGCCCCTCCCGGGACCCGCCTGGACCCCCAGGGGGTGGGGGTGGCACTCTGTCCCGGGGCCACCCTCTTCCACCACTGACGGGACCCCCATTCCAACACGGAGGAGGAGGAGGAGGAGGACGACGACGACGACGACGACGAGGACGACGAGGACGAGGATTTTCATTGTATGCTGCTACAGACGGCACTGCATGTGAAAGCGTGGACGGCTGCAGGATGAAGGGTGCCCAGCACCGAAGTTAAAAAGTGCACTGAAGCAACGACACCAGCACAGAAAAGTAAAGGCCAGAGGAGGTTGGAGCACCCTGGGGGTGGGAACCAACACAGAGTCCTCTGGGCAGGTGGCCCCGCCAGCTCCCAGAGACCCCGAGGGGGGTGGAAGCAAGTGGTGCGGCCGTCAGCGCGCTAAAGCTGAACGACGGGCTCCTGCCCAGAATCCCACACGCGAGAGCTCTGCTGCGGAGGCAATCCTTTGCGAACTCGCTGCAAAGCCTGCAGCTGCTTAGGGGAAATACGGTGCGGCCCATCCAGGGCCACAACGCAACCAGCTAACAGGTTGACCGGTCGCTGCGTGGCCCACGCACCACACAAACCACAAAATGTATATTTGCCTTTATGCCACAGCTCATGTGAAGAAGATAGTTGCTGCCCTGCAATGAAAGCAGGGTGGGATACGAGCACAGGCGGATCTTCCATGCCAAGCCTGATCCAAAGGGCACCATCGATAGGGGCCAGGGGACCAGGCGCAGACCACAGGCGGGGGGGCGGGACAGGGGCCCTCGGAGCCAGGGCCGCGCAGGCAGAAAGGACACGGTCCCGAAACCCCCGAGTCTTTTTCTCTGGCATGGAGTCCGCATTCAGAACAGCGCCAGAGACCAGGCGCGTGCAATTCAAAATGGTGCTGCGATCGGCTCACAAAATCTACTCGCTTCTGGCGGAGGGCGAGCAGCCTCGGAACCTTTGCTTTCACGACCACGCGCTCCTTGTTCTTCGGCTTACTCGCGATCTCCAAAGTGAGAGTGGCAATCCGGAGCAAGACCTGTTTGGCCTTAAGCTCAAGCGCTAGCAAAGCCTGGCACTGGTGCGCGGGTACCTGATGCGCATCTGCTTTACTGGCGGCGAGCTCGTCCGCTACGCGATTGATGTAGACATGATACGGGTCAGTGCTTCTCCAAAACCGTTCAAGTTTGTCCGAATTCTCTGCTAAATGTGACGGCACATGCACTAGCTCAAGGGGAACAGACCTCTTACCAGCCAACACCCAGAACTCCCACCACAGGTCAGCATTGGCAAGGTGAAGGCAGTGGTTCCTGCCCTTATCATAGGCCTTGACATGATTTATACGGTCACATACAATCACGAGCGAATCAGACCACCTGACATGGCGTACAATCTCCACGAGAGCAGTGAGCTCTGCTCTGGGAACACTCTGGCGGGAGCTGTCACAGACACCTGTAACTCCATGGCTCCAGGAAGGCACTCCGTCCTCATCAACATCCAGGCGAGCAAAACTAAAGGAGACTCTGCGGAGAAGCGGGTGCTGCGACCACTGTCCGCCTGCACCATCAGAGCCATAGGTTCCGCCAGGGAATGGGGTCGAGGGCTCGCACCCGAGGTACTCCAGAAGGCGAGAGGAAGGAGAGGGAGGAAGATCCAACCAATCACTGGGAATGAGCCCTCTTCCCCAGAAAATTTGGGCGACCTCGAAATCTGCAAGGGCCTCATGCCGCAGATGCTCAGTGTCAGTCACCCGGGCGCTGTCATGACTGGCATTACACATGCATTCCCAAGCCCTGTGCTGAGGGCTCTCGTCGGATCGAAAACATCGCTGGTAAACGCTATCGGGAACAATGCCACATTCGAATTTGCGCGATTCTGTCCACATGCCTCCGGCCACAATGGTTCTGACCATTGCTGCCAGACCTGCCTCACCGTCTTTCGTGAGTTTCCTAGCGAGCTCTCCCACGTGCTGCCAAGAGACTCCTCGCTCAGCACCTTTCCCGAGATAAAACTTAGAGGCCTCCAGCCACTGCATGCTCTCGATGCTGGCGCTCAAATCCTCCAATAACGGAGTGGCAGGGAAAGATGCATCCTCTACCAAAGCCCAGGAATCTCCCGCCAGATTGATAAATTCGCGAGCGCTGGGGCAAGACCACCCTATGTGCAACAAGCTCGCCTGCAAGGCTGAAAGTGGGCCCCTCACCCAACTCCAGCCTTTCTTCGCTCTGTCCAACGAGATCTGCCAGGCAGCTTCAACTCGAGAGAAAAGATTCGGGCGTTTTGCGAGCCGGCCCAGCCACGTGGCTACGAGGCGACGAATGTGGACCTGGACATGGTCACGGCCCGCCCCGAAAGACAGCCTGATAGCAGTGGTCGCACACGTGCCTGGACCACTCACAAGACTACTGGCATGCGGCAGGGACCCCCCGCCCTGCCCTTCTTGTCTGCAGGGGGACCGGGCAGGGGAAGGCAGGCCGCCTGGACCCTGGGGGGGGCGGCAAGCTGACCCAGGGCCCCCCCCTTCGTAAACCCCCCCCTCCCCCATTCCGCCTTCCCGTACTTCGTCCACGACGTCTATTCGGACACGATCTGAGGCCACGGCCTCTTGCGCCCTGCCCAAGAGGGCTCGGGCACACCTGTGTGCCCGACCCTGGCGCCCTCGCCTCGCCTCGCCCCTGTCCCCCCTTCCCGTTGCCACCCCCGCAGTCAGGGGAGGGCATCGGCTGCACTATGACGTTTCTTGTCTTTGTTCGTTTCTGAGTTATCTTGGGACTGACGACGACGACGAAGACGACGACAGCGTCTCACACAGGCCGAATGGTTGGCTGATTTGTTTCGCGCACATACACTCAATATGCACGATAGAGTCATATGTGTGTATGTATTTGTGTGTATGTAAATGCACATGTGTAGATGCATTTCTGAATATGCATCCATGTCGAGGTCTAGGAGACCTGACGACGCGGAAAGGATGAACGTAAAGCGGGAGGGCTACGCTTGGGGGTCTTACGCTCTGAGCTTGGCGCTCGACACAGACCATCGGTGTGCACCCTCACGCTAATTCTGGAATGTTGGCGCCATGCCGCGATTTCGTAAACCCCGCTCGCGCCAATCACTTGTACCGAGCACGCGAGCGCATTTTGTGTGGCAGTCCCCGCCAGCGACGTGGCCAGTCAGGCTTAGAATCGGGGTAGATCGCTCCAGAGCGTCCCGAAACGCTCTCAGAGCGTTTTGGCCGCGGCGCCGAATACATACTCCAGAACCGTCGGATCTCAGAGATCCCCGATTCGTCCCGATTCGATTCTGTCCCGCCCGTTCCTGGCTTCGTCTTGCGTGGGGGAGGAGGGGGGGGGGGCGGGGGCTGGGCCTGCGGGATGCCCCCCGCCAGCGCCCGCGGGGACCCTGCGCGGAGGAGGAGACGGCCGAGCGCTACCGCTGCTTCCGGGGGCTGCGCGAGCGCGTCGTCGCCGCCTTCGCGGCCGAGCGCGGCAGCCCCGACATCTCGCTGTTGTACCTGCGCCCGGCGCTCGGCCGCGGGGAGGGCCGGCGGCCGGGCGCGCGAGGGGCGCGGGGGGGTGCGGGGCGCGGCGGAGCGGGCGCGAGGGAACCCGCCGGCTCGTCCTTTTGCGGTCCGGCCCTCCCCCCTCCCCCGCTCCGCCGGCTCCTCCTCCTCCGCGGTCCCATATGCCCCCCCCGTCCTCCTCCGGCTCTTGCGTGGCCGGGACGAGGAGGCGCGAGGTCCTCCTCGTCCTTCTCCACCTCCTCACCTCCACCTCCTCGTCCTTCTCCACCTCGAGGCCTGAGGTCCTCCTCCACCTCCTCACCTCCACCTCCGTGGCAACGTCGCGTACGACACATCTGCCACCAGCGCCCAGCGTCCAGGGGGAGGGGCCGGCAGAAGGAAGGGAGCATGGGAGCCCCTGTGGAACTCCGCGGCCCCATCATACACGCGATGTCGATGGGAGCCACCTGTATCCAAATGGAACTCCAAGGCGGCCCCATCATGAAGGACACGCGATGATTTCTCAGAAACCCTCGCGCCTTCTGAGAAGTTTTCTGCGTCTTCGGGGAAGGCTCAGAACACTTCACAGGCCTCTCAGGCCGGGCCCCCTCGCGCTCGTCCCACCTCTGCGTCTCCCACGACCCACCCCAGGGTGGCCAGAGTGGCTCAAGCCGCATTATCTGTTCGAAGTCGCTCTGGCGGCGTCCGCGCTCAGAATCCGACCAAATAGCCCGAATGGCAGGGCGCACAGCGTTTGGGGGACTGGCGATGCTTGCTGGAAGGACCTGCATGGAGAGAGCTTCCGAACGACCTGCTGGAAAGCTTCCAGGCACGCGTATTTCGGGCCGGGCAGGGGGGGTTACGAAATTTGCTACATGCAGCTGGTTTCGGCCTCACCGAGGGGCCCATTCCTCGATACATGGGCGCCTGCGCCGGGAAAACGAGAGGGCTATCCCCCCCTTTCGCCCGACCCGAGTATTGGGATCGAGTAGGAAAACGCTGGCCGGAGCACGCTGCGAGCTCAAGCACGTCGCTCCGGGCAGTCCTGCCGGAAGCCGGAACGGCCTCGAGGGGCGACCCTGCGGCCCCGGCTTCTCTCGGGGGAACGCAAGACCCGATTTGAAGGGGCCCTGGGACACACAAATAAATACACACAAATAAAATGATTCCCCATATTTTCCAATATTTTCTGGGTTTTTGTCTTCCCACCCAATTCCCATATTTTCCCATATTTTCCTGGGAGTCGACGATTAATTGTGTCTGTGTGTTTCTTTCCCTCCTGACTCTCGTCCTCCTCCCCGTCCCTCCGCGCCTCGCCCTCCCCCCCGCCCCTTCCGCCCCAGGGGCGCGCGGGCTGCGGGGGGGGGGCGGGGGGGCGGCGCCTCCAGTTCGTCTGGGCACGGAGAGCCAGGAGAGAGGCGGCGACACAGGCAAGGAGACGTCGACGATTTTTCCCGGGGAGAGGCGGGAAGGTTCGGGGAGCGGAGAGGGAGACGTGGGACAATCATGGGGGATCCTAGGATTTTGTGCCTGCGTGTTTGTGTGTGTCCCTGGGCTTCTGGCTTCTTCCGCCAGCGCAGACGGCCCCTGCCTCGCCGCCGACGCCAGGAGTGTGTCCCTGGGCCCCTGCCTGTGGATGCCTGCCAGGGATGGCCCCGGCCACCCCCCGAGGCGAGGGGCAGCAGCGGCAGCAGCAGCATGCCAGCGTGCTTCGGCAGCTCGGCGGCGCGGCGCGCCAGGCCTGGCTGCGCGCGCTGGCGATCCGGACACCGCGCTCGAGCTGCTCCGGCGGGGGCGGGGGCGGGGGCGGGCGTGGGGGCCGCCGGGATCGAGCCTTATCGACGGTCGAGGAGGACTGGGAGGAGGTGGGGGCGCAGGGGGAGTCTCGTCGGGGGCGCCGTGGGGCAAAGGGTGGGGCGGACGCGGGAGGAGGGGAGGAGGAGAAGAGGAGATAAGTCAGGAGCGGAGGAGATGGACAGAGGACACGGAGACGGGAGGAGGAGCGTTCAGGAAGAGGTGGAGTTGTTCGGCAGGTTTCGTGTTCTCGTCGAGAGGGGTAGGGTCGGGCGTTGCCGCGCTTGTTCCGCCAGCTCAGCCTTTGTCTTGTCGCACTTCTGGCTCTGCCTTTGCTTTGGAGACCTTTTGCTTGTCGTAGGCGTTCGGGTCGTTCTACGCTTTCAGCCTCAGCCTTTCTTCTCTCCGCAGCTTCGAGCATTTGGTTGTCATGTCCGCGTCTTTAGCTTCCAGCGACTTCGTGTCTTCTGCTCTCTTCTCGTCTCCAGCTTCCAGTCGAGTGTTTTTTTTTCTACCTGCTAGTCCTATGTGGCCTCTTTGGTGTCCAGTCTTGCTTTGCCCTCAGTTTGTTATCGTTCCTCTGCTCTTTCGGCTGCTTTGTCGTCGTTCCGTTCCTTATATTTGGTTTCAGTGTCTGGTCTCTCTTTCCATTATCTTCATATGTATTTATCTCGCTTGTCGTAGCAGGCGGAATAGGGGCACCAGCGTCTTCGTTTCTACATCTCGAGGCGGAAAGATGATGCGTGAGTGATGGGGGTGAGAGGAGCAGGAGGACGAGGAGGATGGGCCACGAGGAGGAGGACCAGGACGGAGAACGAGGAGGAGGTTGAGGGGGAGGTAAGGAGGAGTCGCGAGCCCATGGAGCGACGCGCCGAGTTAGGATCATGGGCGGATGCGGGCGGCAGGAAAAGCGTAGAGCGCGCTATCGAGCCCAGAGCGTTTCGGGTCCCCTGGACGCCAACGGCCCAGCCAAAGCCTCACGGCCACGCCGAGAGGACCCGAGAGGGGAAACCCAGGGCCGACCGAAACGGACGACCGCGGGCCCCAGACAAAACAGAAACACGAAGGAGCACGAAGGCTCAGGATATGGATAGCAGGCCCAGCCACTGGACAGCGTCGTCCTGGACCTGCAGTCTACGAGGGCCGGGGAGGGGGGGGGCCTTACCACCCTTGGGGTGAAGGCCCTTCATAAAGTTGTCCCTCCTCCACAGCCTCTGAGGGTTATCCAGAAGGGCCGCCTCGGGGTCACATTCCCGAAGCAGTTGGGTTCGCGCCGTCCGTGCCGAGGGAGCCCCACACTTGCTGCACCCATCCAGACCCCCCGAGACGCACAAGACGTGGCCCCTGGCGCTCTCGGGAGGGACCTCCCCCGGACGCGGCAGAGGGGCCAGCGGCGCCACCGCGCCCGCCCTCGAAGGCGGCGTACCCCGGCGAGCGCGCTTCGCCCCGCGCAAGGACGCGGAAGGGGAGGTAAGGAGGAGCAGGAGGAGGAACACGAAGTGGAAATGGAGGAGGAGGAGGAGGAGGAGGAGGAGGAGGAGCGCGAACGAGGAGGAAGGGGAGACGCACACCTACGAGAACGTCGCTGCAACGGCCAGGCCAATAATCCCCCCCACGAGGGAGGAATGGGATGGGGAGGCTTGGATTGACGGTCGTAAGGAGAACATCCTGCAATTGGACGGGATGATGTTTGGCTCGACGCCGACGTGGATCTCGATTCCTGAGCTCTCGTGCTGGATCCCCCTCTTGCCAGACGCGTCGGTCGGGCTCGAGAGTTTCAGGATTGGCCCATGGTGTTCGGCCATAAATTTGAATGCTCATCATGTTAACTAGCCCATGTTGTTTTGGGGGGCACCGCGCTGCCCCGCAGGTCACGCAGCTCGCGAGACGCTGCCCCGAGCGAAGCGCAATTCGCCGAGGAGGAGTGGCGCCCGTCCGCGCGAAGGCGAACGAGCCGCCCGCGCCGGACGCGCGCTCTCCAGCGCCGCCGCCTTCGTCGACGCGCAGCCGCCGCACAGGAGGCGCGAGCCCCCGCCCGGCCCCTGCGCGGGAGCGTGGGGGCCGACGCGCGGCCGCCCCGCGGAGAGGGCGGCGGGCACGGCCCTGCTGCCGGGCGGCTCGTCGTCGCCCCAGGGCGCCGCGGTCTCGCCGCAGGCCCCGTCGCCCGCGCTTAGGCGGCCAAAATTGCGCCCGCCGGGCCGAGGCGGGAGCTGCGTTGCCAGCCGGAAAGAGATCCCCGCGTTCGGCATCAGCTCATCTCGGTGCTGATCCTGAAAGAAAAAATACCCTCAGTTTCTGAGGGCACGTCCCTAAGATTGTCATCGCCTTGGGCTCGCCGATCTTAGGGATAGGGATGAGTTCGAGGCTGGTTATCACGTGTGCTCGAGCTGCGCGGCGGAGACTGCGCGGGCGTCGCGCCGCCGGCAGCCTGGCAGCCTGCCGCGGGGCTGCAAGCGCGCAGCGCGGTTTCGAGCAGCTCGAGTTCCCGACTGCGCGTGCGCACCACTTCCGGGACGATCGAAATGGGTACAGAAAGAATGGGCACAAAGACCGACAGGTCTCGTTGTCGAGACAGAAGGCCGCCTGCCCAACAGCGGCCCATGTCGGTTTTGGACAGCAACTGTTGCTGGGCAGCGTACCTATGTTTTCCGTACCCACTCCGGGCGTCCAAACAGTTCCCAGTTCCGTTGGCGGGGCCCGTTGTGCAGCGGCTCCAGCGTTGCTGTTGGCCGCGGCGTTTCCGGGGCGGTCCGTCTCGCGGATCCCACTCAGACGTCGCACTTGTCATTGGCGTCCTCGTACAGAGGTGCTCAGCGGGCCCACAGCCGCCCGCTACCACATTTCAGCGTGCTCCCAGTCCCGCACGTCATCGCCAGGCTCGACCTTGACTCACGCACGCTCGCCCGACGCCCTGGCTGTCGAGGCGAAGTCGTTCGGGTCTCCAACACAGCGTGCCCTCGTCACTGCGGCTGCCTTTCTGGCCGCTGCACAGTCGCGCGAAGTTACGCCCAGCGGGCCGCCTGAGCCGCTGCGGCCATGGCGGGAGTGGCCCCCTACTCGCGTCTCCTCCCTCCTCTGTTCTCTTCCGTTTTCCTCCCCCCTCCTTCCGCCTTCCCCCTTCCTCCCTTTTTCCTCCTGGCCTCCTCATCCCTTATATCAAGGAAGGAAAAACAACCCAGACTGGAAAATTGACATTTCTTTAAACGGCCCTGGACGTTTACTAAACAGCCCAACCCTGCTCGATGCCTTCTTTGGGCGCGTTTACTAAACGACTTCGCGTTTCTGGGTGGTTATTATTGGGGTGGACTGTTTGACCTTTATTATATTCATTGCTCGACTCGTCTCCCCTTGAGCCCTGTTTTGGGCGACCAGAGTGACGCTGGCCCGCTTGGCCCTCATTTCCCATGTAGCACTAGGAGGACATGTATGAGGATGGCGAGTGGGAATGTAGAATGAGGTGGGCGAAGGGGGAGGGCGGAAGATGTAGGATGACTTGCGGAGGGGAAGCAGAAGGATCGAGACTTGAGGACGGATCCCTCGCGGGCAAGACTGCATGTGGTGAACTTTCTGGGTCGGGTCTTGCCTTCCTGGCGGCCAGGAGAAGGTAGAAGTGTGTATATATAGTTATATTATCTATACACAGAAACGCGCTCGCGCCCCACCCCTTGCAGGAGCCCAGGCAGCTCAGCTGGGTGGGAAACAAGCACTGCTTTTCCAGATGGCGGAAACCGAACTACGTTAATGTCTTTTTCTGATTCAGCACAGTTCGAATTCTTCACGCTTCGCGTATCCCCACCAGCCCATCTCAAAACAGCAACTCTTGCGAAGCATGCCGACAGTCGTGTTTTTCAGGCGTGTTTCCGCCTGCCCCCGCATATCTCCCCTGTTCCTCCTTCCTCCCGCCTCCTTGTACATCCTCCTTGTGGTGGGAGCGGGAGAAGGACGAGGCGGAGGAGGAGGGAGAGAAAGCGCTCCTCGTGGTTTGAGTCGTTTGGGGTTTCTCGTCCTGGTGTGAGTCGTTCGGGCCCTTCTTCCTGGTGTGAGTCGTTCGGGCTCTTCGTGGTGTGAGTCGTTCGGGCTCTTCGTCCTGGTGTGAGTCGTTCGGGCTTCTCGTGGTGTGAGTTGTTCGGGCCCCTCGTCCTGGTGTGAGTCGTTCGGGCCCCTCCTCCTGGTGTGACTCGTTCGGGCTCCTCGTGGTGTGAGTCGTTCGGGGCCCTCGTCGTGGTGTGAGTCGTTCGGGCTCCTCGTGGTGTGAGTCGTTCGGGCGCCTCGTCCTGGTGTGAGTCGTTCGGGCCCCTCCTTCTGGTGTGAGTCGTTCGGGCTCTTCGTGGTGTGAGTCGTTCGGGCCCCTCGTCCTGGTGTGAGTCGTTCGGGCTCCTCGTGGCGTGAGGCGTTCGGGCACCTCGTCCCCTTTTGGGGCGTCTTGGGGGGCGTGGCGGCCCCAGGGGCTTCTAGGAGCGTCTTGGGTGCCTTGGGGGAGCCTCTTGGAGGCCTCTTGGAGGCCGTGTGGGGCGTCTTGGGGGCCTCTTGGCGGCCCTAGGGGCTTCCAGGAGCGTCTTGGATGCCTCGGGGGAGCCTCTTGGGGCCTCTTGGGGGCCTCTTGGGGGCATCTTGGGGGCCTCTTGGAGGCCTCTTGGGGGCCTCCTGGGGGCCTCTTGGGGCCATCTTGGGGCCTCTTGGTGCCTCCTGAGCGCTTCTTGGGGCCATCTTGGAGGGAATCGATCACAGAAGAGGGGAGCTTTAATGAGCGCTGCCCCCTCAGAAGGGCAAAATGAGGCCAAAACCTTCGTAAAATGAATGATTCTGCCTGGAAAGAAGAGGTGGGCTTTAAGGAGCGCTGCCCCCTCGGAAGGCCAAAATGATGCCAAAACCGTAGTAAAATCACTGATTTGGGCTTCAAGAAGAGGAAATGTTTTTTTCTGCCTCCCCCCGTCGGGGCCAGAATCCTCGTGAGGTGTAAACCCCTCCCCGAAGGGGAAGAAGGGGGTTGAGAACAGAGCGGGCTCTCTAAACCACTCATGCCCAAAGGGCTGGTGGGATTGCGTGCGCGCACTGGGGGGCGATGGCTGATGGAGCGCGCGAAGTAGAGACAAGGGGCAAGGGTGCGGCAGGGACATCAAGCGGCCTAAGCTCCGCGACTTCCTGCCGATCTTGCTAGCCTACGCCAGCCAGGATGGCTCTCGGGGGGAGCGCAGGGTACTGAGCTGTCCCGGGAGGTCGCCCGACGTACAAACTCTGATTGGACCAATCAGGAGCAGACGCATAGGCATAGTGTTGAACCCTTCTGGGTGTGAGAATTCCAAGTGTGTTCGCGGCCAGTCTCTTTTTTTGTTTATTATGTCCTTCTCTCTCGCTCTCTCTCTCTCTCTCTCTCTCTCCCTCTCTCTGCTTCTGTCCCCATTAACTCGCTCTCTGCGTGTATATATATACACACACATATAAACATATATGAACCTTCCAAGGAAACCTATGCGGAGTCCACCTGAGCGTGCGCGACGCCGTTGATGGATAACGGTTGAGTTTCATCCATCTTCCGTAGCTGTGTTGGCTGGAGACAGGCAGCGGAGTCACCGGGCGGTGCCGCCCGTCTGTGGCCGCTGCCGAGCCACTCTGGCTACTGAAAGTTTGCCGCGCCGAGCGCGGCCGCTTGCAGGGCCACGCTCGGACGACTGATTCTGATCAGCCTCACTGGCAGACTTTGCGGGCTGAGGGGAGCGAAGACCTGGCTGGGAGACGAGGATCCCGGGCGCGGGTCGCCCCTCTCCCGCGCTGCTGCTGGCGAGGAGCCCGATGGAGCGGGCAGCCCCGGCAGCTGTCGGGTGGCCCTTCCCGAGAGGGGCCTGGCTCGACGCGGCGCTGAACGGCGACCTGGTGCCGGGGCTGCCGCTGTGGGCTGGTGCACGGGTCCTGGCGCGTGTCAAGGACGACTTCGGGGCGCCGCAGGGCGTCGAGATGCTCGAAGTGGAGGTCGCCTACCAAGCGGACGCCTTCGGCCGTTTCTTCAAGGGCCGGCATGTGGGCGCCAGCGACCCGTACTTCTCATGGTATGCAGCCTCCTCCGGGCAGCAGGGCGCGCGCCCCCTGGCCACGGTCTTCCACCTCTGCAAGTGCAGCGCCGCAGAGTGCGGGGCGGTCGCCCCAGTGGGCGCTGTAGTCGAGCACTTGGACGTGTGGCAGGTGGTGGACCCCCGCGATGTGGCCCGCGAGCAGGCGAAGCTCATCTGCCCGGCCGCGGATCCTGGGGCGCCTGTGCTGACCGACGCGCCCTCGGCCGAGCCGTTGCCTGGAGAGCTCGGCGGCTGGCCGCTCGGGGATGGGGCCAACGAGGACGAGGAGGAGCCTCGCGGGCCTCCGCGCAAGCGTGCCCGCGAGGTGGAGGGCACCCAGACCCCTGGGGGACCAGGAGAGACGAGCCCACTCGACCAGGAGACCGCCGAGGACCCAGAGCTCGAGGCGCGGCTGGCGCGGCTCGGGGGCAGGGCAGCTCGTGGTGTGCCGAGGCAGGGCACGCCCAAGAATGCTGCGCGCCCAGCGGGAGCCGTGGGCGAGCGCCTGGCGCAGGTGGTAGCTGGCCGAGCCGCCGCTGCTGCCCCTGCGCGCGCCAGCGCCACGGGGTCGAGGAGCAGGCTGGCGTCAGCGTTGACCGCTGCGCTCCTGGGGCGCGACGACGACGACGCGGAGGACGGCGCGGAGAGCGACACGGAGCGCCTTGGGGGCCGCGACCGCTACCAGGGCGTGAACATCAAGCGCGACTTGTTCCGCAGGATCGCTCGGCAGCGGCCCGGCGCTCTCCTCGAGAATGGGCTCGGCCACCTGCGCAGCCAGTTCACCCAGCAGTTATCCGCAGGCGAGGCCGACCCTCTGGCCCCGTGCGTCACACAGTTCCTGAACACGGTGTTCTTCGTTGCTCACCCGCCGCGGACGCTGGGGACAGACGAGGCGCGGGTCCTCCGCACGCTGGGGCTGGCGCTCGACGGCATCCTGCGCGGAGAGGTCGTCGAGACTGCGGATCTGCTCATGCAGGAGTTCAAGGCGCGGACGATGGCCATCCGCGACGGGAACTGGCGGTCGGCACGGTGGCTCACGCTGGTCGCACAGGAACAGCTTCCATCAGGCGCCTCTCTGGACGAGGAGAACGCTGCCGAGAAGGTCGAGGCCCGGGAGCTGAAGGTCGCCGAACTCCGCCAGCGACTTGCAGACCGCAGGCCGGGCTAGGGGTCTGGCCGGGAGCCGTCTCCGTTGCAGGGGGGGACGGCACCTGCAGGCCATGGGCGCGCGGAGGCGCGCCCCCCGCCCCCTGCTCCCGGGACGCCAGTCTCGGGATCGCCCGAGGCGATGAGGATCCTTGCCGGACGAATTCCAGGCGACGGTCCCGCAGCTCCCCCCGCCGGGAAGAAGCCGCCAGCAGCGCGGAGGACCAGCCGCAGTCCCACGCGGTCAGTCCAGCTCCTGAGCGACTCGGAGGGGGACCTCGACGCAGCAGCCGCCGCCCGCGTGCCACCAGCGGAGGCGGCGGCAGGCCGGAGCTTCGCGCAGCACAAGGCGGCCCACCCGAGGCGCGAGGGCGAGACCCAGGCAGCGTGGAAGGCGCGCATCGGGAGGCCGCTGGCTGCCAAGAGCCGCGGCAAAGGCAAGACGGGGAAGAGCCGCGGCACGAGCACTGCTCGCAGGACGGCCTGGGTTCGGGCGTGAGGGCCGACGCGGCTAAGGCCGCGGCCCAGAGCACGCTCCCGTCTGCCTTCCGCCCGCCTGAGCGGCAGCTACGCGGCAGCTCGCAGGCTCGGCGGTGGCGCCAGATGCTAGCCGAGGTGGGCACAGGCGTCAGCTCCAAGTTCAGGCTCGCCCTCGCAGTCCACGAGGCGGTGCACGGCTCGCCAGGGGCGATCGGGCGGTACGTTCGTAAGATGTGCACTTCGCCAGACCCCACGGCCAGCTTCGCGCGGCTGCGCGAGGTGTTGCCGTTACCGCTGCCCGACGCCCCACTCTTTGAGAGGTACCGTGCCGCCTGGTACCTGCACCAGCAGCTGCCGGAGACCTGCGAGGTGGACGCCGCCACGGCGCAGGGGTGGGCCCAGCTCGTGGTCTTCAGCCTGAACTACCAGTACACGGGGCACATGCGTAGTCCCACCGTCGCCGCGAGGCGGCCCACGGCAAGCCAGGTCAGTGCGCTCGGCATTGTGCAGGAGGCCTGTGAGTATTTCGTTCAGGATGCCGCCACAGCCTTCGAGCTCCCGGACTGGGACCAGGTCATCGCGTCGAGGACCGTCTCCTACGGGGGCGAGGAGACGGCCCGCGCCCTGCCGCTCTCGCTTGCGGGCATCATGCCAGGCCTCCCCGCGCGAGGCGTCGCCGCCTCTGTCAAGGCGGTCGACATCGCGGACGCTCAGGTGGGCGCCTGGCTTGCCGACCCCACGCTGGCTTTGCTCCCTCGAGATGAGTGGCCTGCAGAGGTCCCGCGGGCGGCGATCCAGGTCACGTCCAAGCAGGAGTGGTACCGCATCGGGACCAAGCTCGTCGAGCTGGGGCTGGCGGCGCCGATCGCCGACGACCGCATCTTCAAGGTCGGGAGCCGCAAGGTGCTCGCTGGGGCGTTCGGGGTCGCCAAGGGAGGCACGCCGTCACCTGGCCAGGCGTGCGTCCAGCGTTTGATCATCAACATGGTCCCGGCCAACAGCTACCAGCGCATCATGAGGGATGACATCGGGACCCTTAGCGCGTCGCCCTCGTGGGTCGCCATCCCGCTCCCAGAGGGCCACATGCTGCTCTGGTCCTCAGATGACCAAGCCTCCGCTTTCTACTGCTACGAGCTGCCCGAGGCCTGGCAGCCATACATGACCCTCGCGGAGGCGATCCCGAACGAGCTCATCGGTGTGCCGGGTCCTGGGAAGACTCACCTCGCGCTGCGTGTCATCCCGATGGGCTGGATCAACGCGGTCACGGTGTTTCAGCACTGCCACAGGCGCCTCGGGTTCGGCTCTCGCCCCCTCGCTGCGGGGTTTCCCGCAGAGCTCGAGTGGCGCAAGGACCGACCACTTCCGTTCAAGTCGAAGGAGCTCGAGCAGCAGTGGATCCAGTACTACATCGACGACTGGGACCATGGCGAGGTGGTGCCCAACGCGATGGTCGCGGAGCTCCTCGGCACGATGAGCTGCGCGCAGGAGGAGCAGAGGGCCGCCTACGACCGCTCGGGGATCAGCGTCGCCCCCGGCAAGGCCAAGCACCGCGCGCTGGTCCTGGAGCGGATGGGCGCGGGTCTTGACGGGGCCGTCGGCCGGGTCGGAGTCACGACCGAGAAGTTGCACCAGCTGCTGGCGTTCATCCTGTGGGGCATGGGCAGACAGGGCCTCTCGTCGCAGGGCATGCTCATGATCCTAGGCAGGTGCGTCAGGGCAGCGGAGTTCAGGAGGCCTTTCATGGGATTCCTCAACAGCGTGTGGGCTGCTGGGCGCTGGACGCGTCCGCAGGCTGTTCCCCTTGGCATGTGCGACGAGCTCTTGGGCTTCGCGATGGCGCTGCCGCTGGCCTACACCGACCTGCGCGCAAAGATCGACACTTGTGTCATAGCGACCGATGCCAGCGAGCGCGCCGGGGGCATCTGCCACACGGCCGGGCTCTCGGCGCAGGGCGTTGCGTGCGCGAGAGGGGGAGCTTCGGCTGTGACTTTGCGGCCTGGTGCAGTTGCGGCCCCTGTGCGGGGAGTGCGGTGGCGCCCTCGCATAGTTCTCATCGAGCTCTTCGCAGGCGCCGCCGGGGCCGCGGTGGCGGCCTCCAGACTCCCGATCGACGTGATGGCCCATGTCAGCTGCGAGGTCGAGCCCGCTGCCCGGCGACTGGTGCGTCGCCGCTGGGCGGGCGCGATCGAGCTTGGCAACATCGAGGCCATCGACACGGCGCGGTTTACTGAGATGCTGAAGGGCTACGCGCGGGACGCCGACTGGGTCGTCTTGACCGCGGGGAGCCCGTGCCAAGACCTTGCGAGCATCAATGCCGTGGGGACCGGCCTAGAGGGGTCGAGGTCGAGGCTCTTCTTCCGGGTCCCCGAGCTGATCCAGGCAGCAGAGGCTGCCTTTCCCAAGCGCACCATGTGGTTCGTCGAGAACGTGTTCAGCATGACCCTAGAGTCGAGGGCGGAGTTCACCAGGGCGCTTGGAGTCACGCCCGTGTTCCTCGATGCCAGGTGTCTCACTCACGTCAGGCGGCCCCGCCTGTACTGGTGCTCGTGGCCCGTCACGGCGTTCTTGGCGTCCGACGCCACCGTCGAGACCAAGGGTGTGGGTGAAGCCGCGTACTTCAAGGTCTCGCTTGCGGTGGAGAGGCTCCCACTGAGTGCCTCGCTCCTGGAGGGCTGGTCGACGCTGGACCCTGAGGCAGACCTCCCTTGTTTTACGAGGCCGATCCCGCGACGCCACCCGCCGTTTCGGCCCGTGGGCCTCGACCGCGCCTCGGTGCTGGCCGCGGAGCGCTGGGCTGCCGACAGCTACCGTTACCAGGTCAACAACTACGAGGACGGCAGCCTCATCTGGGACGCGAGGCGTGAGCGGGGCCGGCTGCCTGTGCCTGAGGAGCGCGCTGCTCTGATGGGGTTCGACCGTCTCTATTTCCAGGCCGCTGTAAAAGATAGTGCACCCGCCGCCGAGCGAGACAGCGTCATTGAGTCCCTGATCGGGAATACGTTCTGCGTCCAGGCTGTCATGTATCTTCTCGGCTCGTGGCTCGCTCAGGTGGGGGCGCTAGCGGCCGCCATCCCAGGCAGCAGCTGCCTCGCTGTGGGCACGTGCGAGGCGAACTGGAACGTGGTCCCCGACTTCCAGCAGCCGGGACATCGCGACCCGCAGTTGGAACGCAGCCTGATCGTAGAGTTCCTGAGGGTCGCGGACCGCGGGGGCACGGACGTCCGGCTCGACACCGGGGCGCCCTACCGCGCCCGCGCGTGGCCGCGGGCAGCACTCCGTACGCACCTCTGGGCCTGGCGGATCGCCAAAGGCTTTCGCTGGCAGCGGCCCGGGCACATCTCAGCGCTGGAGCTGGAGGCTGCGGTGGCTGGAGCGCGCTGGAGGTGCCGAGCAGTTGAGAACCACCGCTGCCGCTACCTGCACATTCTGGATGCCCAAGCGATCGCGGCAGTCAGCACCAAGGGCAGATCGAGCGCGAGGGCTTTGCAGCCCGCACTCCGCCGGCTCAACTCCCTGCTCCTCGCGACGGCTGGGTACCCGCTGCGCGGCTACTGCGACACCGACGACATGCCCGCCGACACGCCGTCCCGCTGGAGCTTCGGCCGCCGCTGCCTCGCTCCCAGTGCTGCCGCAGGCGAGGGCCAGGAGGGCCGCCCCCAGCAAGCGCGCAGCGCAGGCAGCAGCAAAGGTGAGCAGGGTCACGGCCCAGGCGATGGCACGACGAGCTGCAGCGAGGTCCCAACCGCTGAGGGAGGCGATGGTCACGCCACTCACCCTGCAGCGGTACCGTGCGGCAGTCGATGAAGTCGTTGATTTCTGGATCCAGGAGCACCGGCAGCCGCAGACGCCCGCTCAGGTCGACGCTGGCGTGGCCGCCTTCATTGAGAGCCGTTGGCTGAGCGGAGGATCCTTGTTTGAGGTTAATAATGCAATTGCAGGCATCACGCACACTTTCCCGCCCGTGCGAGGGCACCTGCGGGACAGCTGGCGCTTGGCCAAGACGTGGCAACGCCTGGAGCCAGCTGGGCGGGCGCTGCCAATCGGTCCGCTGATCGCGGCAGCGTTCGCTGGTGCATTTGCGGCCGTGGGCCAGCTCGGTGCTGCGGCGGTGCTGGCTGCGGGCTACGATGCTTTCCTCCGGACGGGTGAGATGACCTCGCTCGTGTGGTCCGATGTACAGCTGTATCCACTCCGACGAATGGCCGTGCTGCAGCTGCGCAACACCAAGAGCCAGCATCAGACTGGTGCCCGAGAGTTCGTGCTCGTGCGGAGTGGCGTAGCGGTCGCCCTCCTTGCCAGAGCAAAGGCTCAGGCGCACGGACAGGACTTGTGCCTCGGAATGGAGCCAAGCAGTTTCATGAACACTTTCGGCCGCGTGCGTGAGCTGCTGGAGCTGCAAGATGCAAAGCTCACCCTCTACAGCTGGCGGCGGGGTGGCGCCTCCGCCGACTTCCGCAGCCACGGCTCCATGGAGCAGACGCTGCTCCGAGGCAGATGGGCCTCGGCGCGCACGGCCCGCTTGTATGTCCAGGATGCCGTCGCCGAGGCCACTCAATTAAATCTCTCGCCCACGCAGCGGAAGCGCTGCGGCCTGCTCGCGTCCCGCCTGCGAGCAGAAGCGAGATGAACTGTTCTTGCTTTGTACTGCCTGTCTGTCTGTCCCGCCCATCCTCCACCTTTCTTCCCTCATTTCATTACACCAAGGTGGAGGGCATAAGTAAGAGCAAGAGGGAGCGGCTTTTGCCAGGGTAGGGACCGTGGAGAGAGCTAGGGGGTCCAGGGGTTGGTGACGTTTAACCTCCCGGCGGCTCAAGGGCCCAGCGCGACTGGGACGCAGCGCGGGTGCTTAAGCGCCACGGCTGTGCCAGGCGGGTTGGGAGGCCCTTGGATGCCGCTGAAGGGACGGGACCTCTCCCAACTCCTGGGTTGACCCCTGAGTAGCCCCCAGAGGTCCTGGCCTGACAAGCTCCCTGGCGGAGTGCACAAAAACAGGTGAGAGAAGCATATATGAACCTTCCAAGGAAACCTATGCGGAGTCCACCTGAGCGTGCGCGACGCCGTTGATGGATAACGGTTGAGTTTCATCCATCTTCCGTAGCTGTGTTGGCCCACCCACAGACAGGGGGCAGCATTGCTACCGTCTCGCGCGTGGCCGTGCCTGCCTCCGCGCGAGTATTTGCCAGGACGAGAGCTAGGGGGTTCAGGGGTTGGTGACGTTTAACCTCCCGGCGGTGCAAGGGCCCAGCGCGTCTGGGACGCAGCGCGGGTGCTTAAGCGCCACGGCTGTGCCAGGCGGGTTGGGAGGCCCTTGGATGCCGCTGAAGGGACGGGACCTCTCCCAACTCCTGGGTTGACCCCTGAGTAGCCCCCAGAGGTCCTGGCCTGACAAGCTCCCTGGCGGAGTGCACAAAAACAGGTGAGAGAAGCATATATATATACACATATATATACATACATATATATATATATATATATATATATACTAGAACCACGCGCGCGCTTCGCGCGCGCTTAGGTTCTGTCGAGTCACAGACCCAGGAATCGTTGTGAGAAGAAATTGGTGACGCGAAGCGTCGTGGGGGCGTCCTTGGACGTCTGGGGTCTCCTGGGGCCTCTTGAGGGGCCTCCTGGGGGCCTCCTGGCGGCCTCTTGGGGCGGAAGGCTCGAGCTTGCGGTTCGTGGTCCCCCTCTGGGCCCCCTCTTGGGCCCGTCTTGGGGCCCTCTTGGGCCATCTTGGGCGCCTCTTGGGCCGTCTTGGGGCCCTCTTGGGCTGTCCTGGGGCCCTCTTGGAAGCTTCTTGGGCCGTCTTGGGGCGGTCTTGGGCGCCTCTTGGGCCGTCCTGTAACGTCGGAAAGCCCAAAAGACAACTTTGTTGAAAATGTACGTTTTACGAAGGGAATGGGCCAATTTTTGCGTCTAGGGGCCCTCTTGGGACGCATGTTGGAGGCTTCTTGGGGCCTCTTGGGGGCGTCCTTGGACGTCTGGGGTCTCCTGGGGCCTCTTGAGGGGCCTCCTGGGGGCCTCCTGGCGGCCTCTTGGGGCGGAAGGCTCGAGCTTGCGGTTCGTGGTCCCCCTCTGGGCCCCCTCTTGGGCCCGTCTTGGGGCCCTCTTGGGCCATCTTGGGCGCCTCTTGGGCCGTCTTGGGGCCCTCTTGGGCTGTCCTGGGGCCCTCTTGGAAGCTTCTTGGGCCGTCTTGGGGCGGTCTTGGGCGCCTCTTGGGCCGTCCTGTAACGTCGGAAAGCCCAAAAGACAACTTTGTTGAAAATGTACGTTTTACGAAGGGAATGGGCAAATTTTTGCGTCTAGGGGCCCTCTTGGGACGCATGTTGGAGGCTTCTTGGGGCCTCTTGGGGGCGTCCTTGGACGTCTGGAGGCCATCTTCAGCATCTCGGAGCCCTCTTGGAGGCCTCTTGGAAGTTTCTTGGGCCGTCTTGGGCGCTCCTGGGGCCGTCTTGTCTGACCGGGGAGGCCTCCGGCAAGCCCCGACGAGCCTCCGGGCCCCCCGGAGCCCACATTTGTGGTCGAGGTCCCGGCCCCGGGCCCCCGGACCCGGTGCGCCGTTATATGTATATATGAATGAATAATTGAACCCCTCTGTCTTACTACATGTATGCTGTATGCGTATATACATGCACATGTACTGTATATCTGCTTTAGTTGTGTATATATAGATACATGTCTAGTCGTATCTGTCTACTCCTTGCTGTCGTCGTCCTCCTCCGCCTTCCTCTCCTTGTTCCTGCTTTCCTCCTTCGCCTCCCTCCTGCCTCTTCCTTCATCTCGTCTCCCTTCTTCCTCCTGGTTCCTCTGGAGCGCAGGGCGCGCACGAGAAGGCCGAGGTGTTCTACAGAGAGCATCTGCGCCCCCTCCGCGCCCGCGAGAGCGCCGACGGCATGCAGTGCCTGGACTTCCAGGGGGCAGGCAGGGAGGTGGAGGTGTTTCGCTGGTAGGTTTGCCAACTTGTTCGAATGTCTCCTCTTGCTGGTTCTCCGCCGTACTAGCTGTTCAACAACTGTCGGGGCGGGGTCCCGCACCCACGTGCTCATCATCGACAAACTGAATTGGGGTGCAAAGGGATCAGAACTATTGCTTATAATTTTTGTGCCTCAGCCCGCACGGATGGCTCGGGCAAGTGAGCAAACCGTTCGCATTGACGGCTTCTGCACTTCACTCCGTCAGAATGGTTCGCATAGGGTGGCCGAGACGGGCGAGTGTGCCTCAAACAATCAGACAGGAGGGAACCGGACCGTACCGGGGACAGTCGTGAACAGAACCGAGAGAGAGCGGGAGAGAGAGGGAGAGAGAGCCAGGCACAACAACAACAGCAGCAGCAACAACAACACCCATCATTCTAAGACTATTCGCTCTTACTTGCCCGTGTGTCATTCAAAACGAGTTCCCCACACCCTCGATACCCGCCTTTCTGTCTTCGATCACACCCCCGTTCGGGGGATTCTTTCTCTTTGCGGGGGGCGGCGGGCTTAGACAGGCGGGCAAACCTGAACGGGCGGACAATCCTTCGTGGGCGTACATGTGCCCGCCATTGGAATTGGTGTGGGCCCTGCAACAAGAGAAGGGGGAGAACGAGGGAAGGTGGGAGGAAGGGAGGGGGAGGGACGAAGGAACAGGGAAAACGCCAGGAGAGAAGGGGCGAAGACGGGGGCGGTTGATTAGAGGCAGAGAGAGAGAGAGAGAGAGAGAGAAAGACAGATAAGAGAGGTAGAGAAAAAAAGAGACAGAGAGAGAGAGAGGGGAGAGAGAAAGAAAGAGGGAGGGAGGCGGCAGGAGAACGGAGGGAGAAGGGAGGAGGGGAAGGAGGGAGAGGGGATAGGGCAGAAAGGCACAAGGATGAGGGACGAAAGGAGGGAGAGAGAAGGGAGGAAAGGAGGGAGGAGGGAGGACGGAGAGGGAGGAGGAGCAGAAAGGTACGAGCGCGTTCCTGAAGGAAGTCTCGGGCGGGAACCCACGACGGGCGGGCGATCCCCTGACGGGCGGGTCGGGCGGGTGGGACATTCAAGCGGGATGCCTGAGTATGGCGAGAGCGCGAGTACTAAGTAGATTGTAGCGGCGTCCTTGGCGCAGCGTGCTTCCTGAGCGTCGAAAGCGCGATTTCTGCATACATTGCATGGACATCACAGGCGAGAGCACAATTCCCTAATAAAATGTGAGTGGCTCTCTGGCGGGAGCGGGGGTCCTTGGTTAAATTGCGAGGAAGTCTTACTAGGAAGTTTCAAGCGGGAGCGCCGTTCCTGAGTAAATTGTCATGAAGCCTCAGATGGGAGCGGGGGTCCTGACCAAATTGCCAGGAAGTCACAAGCGGGAGCACCGATCCTGAGCAAATTGTAAGGAAGTCTCAGGAGCGGGGCTCTCGAGTAAACTTGGAGGAAGTCTCATGCGGGAGCCGTTGTTGTTGTAATCCGGGGGGCTTGGGGCCCAGTTTGAGCAGGACGATTCTTTCTTTCAAAAAAAAAGGGTTGCGAGCGTCGAGGGGCACACTTTGACTGAGAACAAACAGCATGCACCTTTGAGGGGGGATCAACAATAATTAATCTTAAGAAGTTAGTGTCCAACAAGAACAACAACAACAACAACAACAACCACAGCAACAACAACAACATCAACATTAACATCAACATCGACATCAACATCAACAACACGGCGGCAGCGGTGAGCGAGCACCAGGGCCACCGACGGCGAGGGACAGTGCCGAAAGGAGGGCAGGCGGCAGAGCGGGGACAGTCGGGGACACTTGGAACAAACATCGGAGCCGGGGACGGCCAGAGGCATAGCCTGGTGGAGGAGCTCCGCTGCAGCGAAGAGAATGCTCCAGAGCCAGGGGCACTCTGTGCGGCAGGGCCGGAAAAAGAAGCTCGCAGCATCGGATAGCGTTCACAAGAGATGGGGACGGTCGGGGACAGCACCGAACGAAGAAAAATATGGGCAGCGGGGATCGATCACCAGAGCCAGGGCAGTCGGGGCTGGGGTCAAGGAAATTCTAGACGCTTCGCGTATCCCCACCTTTGCCATTTTGGCTGCGTTGGCTCGTACTCTGAAGCTGCGACGGTTCGCTGGCGCTGTCAGAGCCCAACCTCTCCCTACGGTATGCAGTCAGGCGACAGCTTGCGCGTCTCTCGGACGCTTCTGCTTGAGCATGGTTCAGACACCCTGGGACCCTATGGTACGCCATTCGCTGCGCCGAGGTTTGCAGACTCCCTACTGTTCAGATAGTGTACTCAAGCGGCGTACTGCTTGGCCATGGCCTCAGACATCTTGGGGTTATTTGCATCGCGCCACTTTGGCAGCGTAGTTACAGACTCCCTGGGTGCAGGTCCCTGGGCGTCAGACGCCCTGGGTTGCAGCACCCTTGCACCCGCCGCCGGCGCCGGCCGCGGCTCGCGCGCGCATCCGGCTAATTAGTTTCGGCCGCAGCCCGACCGTTACTCGCCGCCGCTGGCGCTTCCGCCCGCGGCTTTTCTTGTTGGAAAAAAAACCGTCCAGAAACGACGCCCAGGCGAGTAGAGGGTCGTCCTGAGGGGCTTTTCGGCGTCTTGGGTGCCTCGGGGGGGCCTCTGTGGGCCGTTCGGGATCCTCTTTGGGGCCTCCTGGGGGCCTCTTGGGGCCTCTTGGGGCCATCTTGGGGCCTCTGGGGGGTCTCTGGGAGCACCTTGGGTGCCTCTGGGGCCTCTGGGAGCACCTTGGGTGCCTCTGGGGGGTCTCTTGGGGCCTCTTGGGGGTCTCTTGGGGGCCTCCTGGGGGCCTCTTGGGGGACCTCTTGGGGCCATCTTGGGGCCATCCTGCGGCCTCTTGGGGCATCCTGAGGGCCTCTTGCGGTCATCGTGGAGGAAATCGATCAAAGAAGAGGGGAGCTCTAATTAGCGCTGCCCCCTCAGAAGGCCAAAATGGGGCCAAAACCATCGTAAAATCAATGATTTTGGCTTCCTCGCCGAGGCCGTTTGGGACGCTCTGACCGCTCCCCGCCCCTCCTGTCCAGGTCAGTCGGGAGGGGGTAGGGGGAGGGGTAAACCCCTCCCCGAAGGGGAAAAGGGAAGGGTGGAAGAGGAAACGCCCTACACCACCGACGCCCAGAGGGCTGGTGGGATTATCGCATGACGCCGGGCGAAGAGGAGTAGGACGACAACGGCGAGAACGAGGAGAACGAGCAGCAGGATGATACTGGGGAGGAAGACGAATTGAAAGGAAAAGGAAGAGGAAGAGAAAGGGGGCGGGAAGGTGGATAAGGAACAGAAGAAGAGAATTATGGGAATGATTGTAAAGATGTGGAAAAAGGAGAAAGAAGGGGAGGGGGATGACGGAGGAGGAATAATAGGTAGGCGAGGGGGAAGGGGATCCTGGAGAGCGCATATGGCCACTTGGAATCGTCCTGGGACGGTCTCGGAGCGTCTTGGAACATCTGTGGAGCCATCTTGAGGCAGGTTGCGCTATCTTGAGCCAGCCTGTTGGAATCGTTTTGGAGCAGTCTTGGAACGTCTTGAAACATCGTCGGAACCATCTTGAGGCAGGTCGCGCAATCGTCAGCCATCTTGGAAGGTGTCTTGGGCTTCCCGAGGCTCTCAGGGAGCCGTCTTGGCCCATCTTTGACGACCTTGTGAGCCTCTTGGCGGCCTCTTGGGCGTCGTTTGGGGCGCTCTTGAAGCGCTCTTGGAGGCCTCAGAGGCGCTGGCAGAGCCATGTTGGAGGGGATCTGGCAAAGACAGCGGAAGCATTTTTTAGCGTCGCCCTAGAGCCTTTAAAATCGCCTCCTGAACCCCTCTTGGGGTGCTCTTGGAGCGTTCGTTGCCGCTCTTGGCGCCGTCTTGGGGCTTTCTTGGGCCATTTTTGGAGCTATCTTGAGCCATCTTAGAGCCATCTTGACGCTTCGGATGCGCATCGCAAGCGAAAAAGTGAGAACACCAAAAACATTGATTTTCCCTAGGGTTTTGAAGCAGTTTGGCCTCTTGGAGGCATCCTAGTGATGCTCTTGTGAGCACTTGGAACCGTTTTGGGAAGCTCTCGGAGCGTTTTGGAACATCATGGGGACCATCTTGAGGCATCTTGCGCTATCTGGAGCCATCTTGGAGGTCATTTTGAGTTCCCTGAGGCTCTCTTGGAGCCGTGTTGGGCCATCTTGGACGCTCTAACTACCCGCGGCCCCCCCTGTCCAGGTCAGTGGGGAGGGGGTAGGGGGAGGGGTAGACCCCTCCCCGAAGGGGAAGAAGGAGGGGTGGAAGAGGAAACGCTCTAAACCACCGACGCCCAGAGGGCTGGTGGGATCAAATTGGCGGCGGCGCAGGGCAAGCATCGGAGCAAGAACCAGCCAAGGACACGGCCGAACGAAGGGGAACTACAGCGGAGAACAAGCACCAGGGCCTGGGACAAGTGGTGCCGTGACGAATGAAGGAAATTGGCGGTGGCGAGAGGCAAGTATTTGAGCCATTGATTGCCTGGGACAGTGCTGAACGAGGGAACGTGGCGATGGCGGAGAGCACGCACCAGTCCTGGTGCTTATTGATCTTAAGGACAGCCAGGGGCAGTACCGAACGAAGGGAACTGGCGGTGCAGAGAGCTAATGAGCCCAGGAGAGTCGGGGACAGGGCCAAACGAACAGAATTGGCGGCGGCGGAAAGCACGCACGAGTGCTCAGGAGCGCCAGGAATTAGTGCAGGCCGAATGAAATTGGCGGCAGCGGACAGCAATCACCAGAGCCAGGGGCAGTCGGGGACGGGGCCAGAAGAAGGAACGGCCAGACGAGTGAAACTGGCGGCGGCGGAGAGCAAGCACACGAGCTGGGGGCAGCCAGGAACAGCGCCGTAGGAAGGAAACCAGCGGTGGCGGAGGGCGGGCAGCAGGACCAAGGACAGACGGGGTCAGTGCCAAAAGAAGATCTTGGCGCTTCGCGTGTCCCCAG